CGGAGCTTGGGGCTTCGCGTTTTGTTCAGGAGCTCAGCGGTTCCCTGGCGCCCCCGCGCGCGCCCACCCACTGCTTTGCTGCCCCCCCCCCCCCCACCCCGCCACCACCATCTTGTGCTATTTCGTGGTGTCTGGCGGCCCTGGCAAGGCCATCGAGCGGATCGACGCGCGTTTGGGCGCGGGGCTCTCGCCCCATGGGCCCGCCCGTGGACCTGGAGTTTTTGTTGGGCGCCGCGGCGTCCTCAAAGCTCTGTCGTTTAGACGCCCCCCCACCCCCCGCTTCCGCGCGAGGCCGCGGTGGGCCCTGCTCCCAGGCCCAAAGAGCGGTGCGGGTGTAGGCGCTTGCCGATGCCGCTTTTTGTTCTGTGGATAAGGGCCGCCCGCAAGAAGCCGCCTCTCTTCTCGGCCCTCTGCGCCAGCGCTGGGCCGATAAAGCCGAGCACGGTCTCATTCCGATTGTCGGTTCGCTTCTGTTGAGCTCGAGTCTCGCGGGCCGTGGCCTCAGCCGGTCTGGCGATCGGCTTTGGCCAGCGACTTCCAGGTTAGATCTGCCACCCATCGGTCGTTATCTTGGCTCGGTCAGCAGCTCCGGGCGCTCGCCCATGCTGCGCGAGCCAACGTTCCCAGGTCGGCCAACACTTTAAAGGATTTGCTGCTGCAGCCACCGATGGCGATTACGGGTTCTACGGATGATTATGCGCCCCAGATCGAGCTGGCGGCGGCGGCCGTCTCGGCCTCGGCAGATCCGGACTCATCTGCAGATGCGCGCGCCCGGGCGCACGGGGCCGCCCGGGCCGCCGACGCCAAGTTCTTCGCCGAGGCCCGAGCCGATTGGAAGGCCTGGCTCAATGTCGGAGTGCTGTCTGGCGTCAAGCGCGTGCACGCGTTGCTCGGAGACCCGTCGCCCTGGGCGGCCAGCAGCGCTTTCCCGGCCGAAGGCAACGTTGTTTCTGACCCTCTGTTCCCGCTGATAGCCGAGGGCGCGCGTTTCTCGTCGCTTTGGGGCCGCGGCTCGGGAGCCCCCATCGGCCTTTGAGAGGCTCGATCCCTTTCCCCGTCTGGATTCGCAGACCATCAGAGACATCTCTCGGTCGTGCAAGAGTACCTCGGCCGTGGCGGCTGATGGGTTTCATTGCGGACGCTTTTCGTTGGTTTCTGCTGCTGGCTTGGATTGTTTCAGCCGTCTTCTGCGCCTCATCGAGGCGCTCGGAGTTCTGCCTCCTCAGATCTCGATTGTCCTCTTGGCGCTGCTGCCGAAGCCGACTGGCGGCTACAGGCCCATCGGGTGTTCTGTTCTTGGTTCAGAGTCTGGGGGCGCTGCGGGCGCCTCCTGGCTATGGACTGGGAGCTCACTTACCCCCGCGGGCACTGGGCTGCTGGCCAGCACCTGGGAGCCGCGGACGTTGTCTGGCGACGGGCCGCCACGTTGGAGGTTGGCGTTGCTCGAGGCGGGGCCAGCCGTAGCATCTTCTTTGACCTCTCTAAGTTGTGCGAGGGCATCAACTTTGGAAAACTCGAAGATCGTTGCCGTCGTCATGATTCCCCGATGGTTATCGCTAGAGTTTGCCTCTACGCCTACAAGGTTGGTCGATTTCTGAGTTTAGGAGGTTGGCTTGGAGGGCCCTACTTTTGTTCAAATGGCTTGGTTGCTGGATGTTTTATAGCCACTACGCTGATTCGTGTTTATTGTCTCGAAGGTATGATAGCATCCCCATCTAGCCCCTGCCACCTCACTTGACGTCTACATAGACGATCAAGGCTCGTCTTCGACGGGTCGGCCGCGCGCTGTCGTGAAGGCGGCGGTGGCTGGGGGTGTGGCGTCGACAGGGTTTGGCAAGATGTGTGCGGTTGCTCGCTAGCCCTCGAACAACGGCCACTGTCTCGAGCCCGAAGCTCGTTGGCACTCAGGTCCTGTCCAGCCTCAGCCACCTCTGCCATCGTTGCGCAGGTTCCACGGTCAACCTCGGCGTTGACTGCACGGCTGGTCGAGCCGTTCGAGCGGCTGGCAGGTCGGCCAAGCTCGAGGCTCGCCTCGCGAAGGCAGGCAGAGCAGCGCGGCGCTTAGTGCGGCAGGGTAAGGCCATCCACTGCCCTGAAAGTTTTCTCTGCGGGGCCCTCAGCTGGGGCCTCATATGGTACCGAGGTGACTGGCACCAGCGGTTGCGACCATAGCCTGGTGCGCCGCCGTTTCTTTCCCTGCGGTGCGACTTCACAGTCAATTGAGGTCTCTCGCCGTCTGCGCCATCTTGGATGGTGACCCGACATGGCGCGCAGCCAGCGCAACTACTCTCAGATGGGGCAGGGAGGTATGGATCAGTCAAACGTCAGCGCACCGCTGGCATTAGCCTTTTCCTGTGCTTAGGCGTGCGCGGCGCGCGACCTTTTCCTCTGACTACTGCAGCTGGAGGCGTGGTGCGGGGCACATTTCGGCGATGCGAATGTCCCTGGTCCGCTGGGGGCGGAGAACGACGGATTTTATGACTTTGGCCGACAGTTTTCGCAGGTGGATCCCGCTGGGTTTGCCCCCCCCCCCCCCCCCCTGGTTGCGCCCTTGGTCCGGGAAGCTTGCTTCCGCATGTTCGAAAGAGAAGCTGCGGCGAAACTGTGCATTCCCCCCCGCCTCTGTAACGACGTGGTCAGGGAAGTCATATCTCAGTGCAGCAAGAAATCCACTGCCCTTCAGAAGGCTAGGGCCAGGACCCTCTCGACCGAGGCAATTCTCACCGCTGTCAGGGCCGAGGAGCTCGGCGACTTGATCGAGCCAGGTTGTATCCACTGTGGAGCCCGAGGCACCGTACCAATACTGCGAATTAAGCAAGGCATTCTAGACGCTGCCATGGCTGCCAAGGAGTCGGGCGACGACGTCGAGGCTTTTGTCCTCATATCTGGGGTTTTCTTGTGTTATATATATATATATATATATATATATATATATATATAGCTGCGTCCCGCTGCGCCCTCACGGAGCAAGATGATGGTCCGTCCCTGGTCTGGCATAAGCGGCCCGAGGTTGGCCCTCATGGCTGCCCTGTCAGCAACCGCGCGTGGGGCGACCTGTTCGTAGACGGCTCTTGCACCCGACATCCGATTCAAGAACTGTCTAGGGCTGGTAGCTCGTCGTGCACGATTGATTCCGAGGGCGAATTAGTTGCGGAGGTTTGGGCCCCTGTTTGGGGGGGCGCCCTCAGACCCCACAGTGCGCGGAGCTTTTCGCTTTCACATGGGCTAACGTGCTCGCCACCCACCCCTCGGAGTGTCATGTCTAATCGGACTGCAGCAATGTTGTTCAGACTGCCGCGCAGGGCAAGCTGATCCAACTCTCTTCTAAGAGACAGTATCTTGGGGCTTTTCTGCAGTGTCACGGTCAGCGATCTTCGATCTCGGCGCGTTCGAAGGTCGCGGCCCGCCTCGATGCCGACGCCCCAGACATTTCAGCCCAGGGGCGTTGGCACAGGCGCGGCAACTAGAATGCTGACGCTAGTGCCAAGCATGCGGCTCTGCTACATCCTCACGATGAGGCTCAGATGCGGGCGGCCGACCTTCTTGTGGAGTGTGCGCGGGCTACTCCTCAAGTTTGCGGCCCACGTGCTGGCGCACTGGCCTTCTGTAGATCTTGGCGGTGTCGAGAAATCTGCAACGCTTGCGGTGGCCAAGGCTGTTCCCTGAGGTCATGTTTGGGGTCTTTGGGGGGAAATCTGGAGGCGCGCGCACAGTTTACGTGGTTGTCGTTCGGTTTCGAAACCACCTCTCGGTTCCTGCAGCCGCACGTCGGTTGTTCATGCCGACGTTCAGGACGCGCCCGGCCATCGTATTGTAGCCTTCCCATGCTCGGACAGTTCGGCTCTATTTATATGTCTGAGATGCAAGTGCCACAGCAGCGGCGACCAAATCAGAGGGCTCCCCAAACAGTGCTCCCTGGTTCCTTCGCGGGCGTGCAAGCACGGTTGGGTTTTCCGGTGCAATGGCCAGCATCCACAATGCAGTCAGCGGAGAGTTGGCTTTCTTGTGGACACGGAAGGGCTGATACCTTGCTTCAAGTTGCCTGAGGCTACTACTGCCTCGTCTAGCGTTTGTGCGTGCTCGCGGTCGAGCGCGTCGGCCGCCCATCCTGTTACTGTTTGCGAGGGGAAGACGGGCGGCGCGCCTCGAGGCCGAAGTCGAGGCCTCTGAATTTTTCTTCCTGCCCAGAGCAGGTTCTCATGCCGCGCGGCCACCTGACGCTCAATCTTAGAGAGATGTGCTGCGTCAGGCTCGCGGGATGGAGGGGGAGAGAGCCTCTCTCGAGCGTCAACCCGCCGTCGACTCGGGCGACCCTGACTAGCGCGGTCTTTGAAAACGCCAGCACCTCCGTCCGTTGCCGGCGCTATTTCATGGCCTTCCCTGATTTGGAGGCGGGGGCCTGGAGCTCAAACAAATCCTCCTCCTCCTCCTCCTCCTCCTCCTCCTCCTCCTCCTCCTCCTCCTCCACCTCCTCCTCCCCCTCCCCCTCCTCCACCTCCTCCTTTTCCTCCTCCTCCCACTCCTCGGGCCGCCTACGGCCCCAGGGGAAACCGTGCAGGGGGTGCGGGGAGCCGGTCACGGGCATCGCGTATCGTAGGCTTCGGGCTCAGGGGGGACGCATCGGCACCCAAGCGCCCGTGCATCGCCAGCAGGGGCCTGAAAACCCCGCCCCGCAACGGACCCTGCGGATTTGCGGTCGGGAGCCCGTCGCCGATCTGTTGGCAACGTGTGGCCGATTGCAGCTCATTGTTTTCAGCCATTGCCCGTTCCCCCCCCCCCCCCCCCTATCTGAGCACTGGGAAACCGACCCCAGCCCCCACAACCATTGATTTTGTATGTCAATGTTTTGCAGTTGTGGCGAAGGTGCGTAAGTGTAGGCGGCCTATAAGCGAGGCCATTGCCGCGCACTTGGTCGAAAGTTCCTCATGTGGGGGGCAGGGGTCGCTTTCCATGCGTCTACTATCGCTGCCCCGCAGGAGCTCCACAAGCCCCTCTTCCGCATGTTCGGGGACCAGACAGAGAAGTGCCGCGAGGTCGCCATGGCCATGTCGTCGCAGTACGTCGACCTGGTCCCAGTCGCGGACCTCGAGAACGTGCTGCCGCTCCTGCTGGCCGCCGTACGTGGCCGGCTGTGGACGATCCCCTTTCCAGAGCAGTGCGAGGAGCTGCGCCTGGAGGCCCTGAAGCTGCTGAATCACCTCTTCGACGTCTGCGAGGGGAGGCTGAACCCTTTCGCCAGCGACGTCCTCGACGTCCTCTCGAAGGCTCTCACGGACTCGTGCCCGGACACGAAGAAGGAGTGCTGCGAGATCACGAAGAAGCTGAGCACGCACTTCGACGCTGAGCGCGTGAGCCGCGCTGGCGGGCCGCTTGTGGGCGCGCTGCTGGCCAACCTCAAGCACCAACAGTGGAAGGTCCGACGGGCTACGCTTGATAGCCTTGGAGCCTTGCTGTCCCTTGAGGCTCCCATGCTGGATCACATGGAAGATGTCCTCCCGCATCTCAACGCGCTTCTCAATGACCGCACAGCGGCGGTTCGACAGTGCCTCGGCGAGGTGGTCGAAAGATGGCTGCTGAAGGGTCTCAGGTTCAAGGAGCCCCTGGTAGCGACTTTTGGCGACGATGACGGGCCCGTGGGTTTCGACAAATTTGAGCCGAGGCTGTTACTTTTGCTGCTGAATGTTGCTGCTGATGAGGATACCAGTCAAGTGGCACCCGTAGCCCTGGGGGCCATTGAGAAGGTAGCCGTGGTCAAGCAGGAGGTGCGGCAGAAGCGCTATGAGGCTTCGAAGGTGAAGGCAGAAAAGGCAGCAGAGGCGCGTGCCCAGCTCGCAGCTGCGAAGGGTGAGGATCCGCCTCCGCTACCTGCTGAGGCGCCAGGCGTCCTGCCACAGCCGGAGTTGGCTCCAGAGTTTGACTACACTCCGATGCTCAGCCTCATACCAGAGCCCTTCGCCTCAGGACGCACTCCCTCGCAGCTCACGACAACGTACGTGCAGATACACCTCCGCTCGATCATGCCCCAGGTCCTAGGCAACATCACCCAGTGGACCAGCGACCTCCGCACTGCCTCCGCAAGGCTTCTGCGGGTCATCCTGGTGATAGCCAACAAGCAGGTGGCCCCCTTCCTGGACCAGGTCCTGGTCCACCTGTACAAGGCCTCCGCCGACACCGAGACCAGCGTGTCCCGAGCCGCCCTGCAGTGTGCCGAGATGGCGGGCGCGTTCGTGGAGGTGCGTGCCGCACACAGAACAGGGGTTGAGGCCAGGGTTGAGGCCTCCGAATAAGTCGGTAAGGGTCGGCGGCTTCTGAAAAGGCTTCTTGGAGGTGAAGAAGCGCCTCTGAGAACGAACGGACGAACCACAACGTAACGTGATTGCTTCCTCTTCAGGACACGCCACTGCGATAACGATCACGTTTCGGCGCATTGGTGGCCAAACCAATACGGGGCGTACCGACATGACATGACAATTGGCGAGCCAGCAGAGCGTCAAATACATCACACCGTAACGCACCAACGACGCAGACGAGCAGCGCGAGGAACCATCATGAGCAGACGAACAGCGCAGAAGCCCTCCCACCTAGGGCGGGTGGTAAGGGGGGGGGGATGGCCCAACGAGGGGGGTGAAGAAAAGGGCCCCGCAGGGCATGTTCCTTAATCCCCATTTGGGCCACCCCCCCTTACCACCTACCCGACCCACCCTCGACCCACCTCGGTGGCACTCAGTCGGGCTTGTCCCTCTACAGGAGGAATATCCAAAAATAGTATAACCAAATAATAGCCTGGGGACGATGTTTCTTTACCATTCTCGAAAATTGTTCACATATATGTTTGGACTATTTTTAAATTTTTCGTGCACAACCCCCCTGTGGGCGGACATGCCCGACCTAACGGTAGCAGAGTGCGACCGGAGGCCTGCCCTTCAGGACACCTCTTGGCGGGGCCCACACGGGCGCTGGCCTCTCTCGACCGTGGCCAGGAGGGACTCCCCCCAGGGACTCGGGGGCCCTGGTGACCACACCGTGTGGTGAGTCGGTGGGAATTCGGGGTCACCGCACGGTTTTGGGAATTAGGTCGTTCTTCGAGGATGTCTCGGGCGATTGGGGCCTCCGAGGTCCCCAAACTCACCACACTGTGTTGGGACCCCCAGGGGAGGCCCAGAGCGAGAGGGAGAGGGAAAGAGAGAGAGAGAGAGAGAAAGAGAGAGAAAGAGAGAGTCAGCGGCGAGCGAGGGGGGGGGAAGTGAGAAGGAGAAGGCCCTTTCAGAAGAGGGCGGGGCTCCTCAGAAGCCCTCGCGCCTTCTGAGAAGCGCTAGGTGTCTTCGGGGAAGGCTCAGTAAGGAAACTTATCAGGAGGCCAGGGGGCTTCCGAGCCTTCTGAGAAGGCCCTCTCGCTTCCCCCCTGGGCTGGCCACCGAGAGATAGCGACAAGCGGCAACCGAATTGTCAAGACGCTGGCATAGGGAACAGCTTGGGTTTGAAAGGGGCTCGATGTTCCTTGGGGCCTTCCGTGGCTGTTCCTCTAGCCCTCCTCGTGCACGCAGGCGCTCTTGCAGCCAAACATGGGCTTCGTTCCTAATGTTTCCTCCCTTGTTTCAGCAGCCCTGCCGCACGACAGACCTGCATAGCCATGAACTGTCGTAGGTCCGCGCGGACCTGTTGGACCTGCGCTGGACGCCGGATCCCCAGGGCGGCGCCTCCAGCGACGCCCCCTTGCGCGCTCGCCGGGGAGGGGCTCCAGCGCCGCTCCGGGAAGCCCCTGGCTTTTAGTCGGGCCTGTCCCCCTACAGGGGGATTTTCGACGAAACATGAAAAATACCCCAAACATAATCAAAAAGTAATCCTGAAATAGTCTGGGGACTATGTTTTGCAGATTTGTTGACCCTTTCGATGTACTTTTGGAGTATTTTTAGTTTTTCGTTGAAAATTCTGAGCCTTCCCCGATGACACAGAAAACCGCCGCCTTTTGAGAAGCCCCGCCGCCTTCTGATTCCCCCCCTCGCTCGCCGCCGATCCCCAACGTTTTGAGCCGTCCCAGGACGGGCAAAAAGGGGCCGTGTGGCTGGGGCCGGAGGACCGCGCATGCATCGCCGATGCATCTTGCGATGGGGCTCGGTCTGGAGCCTTCTTTTTTTTCCATGCCGACGGCGCCGATGCGTCGCCGACGTCGCCGATGTATCGACGATGTATCGACGATGCACGGGCGATGCGAAGCGATCCTCCGACCCCATCTGCTCGGACCCCATCTGGGAGGCCTCTACCTCCGCGCCGCTGACCCCCACCCGCTCCTCCCCCTTTCGGACAGTGCCATGGGGGGTAACCACGAGGGGGGGGGTCGGGCACAAGTTCCTCCGGATCGGATCCCAACGAGGTTTTTGGATGCTTGGGCTTGTCTTGACGGAGGTCTTTTCGAGAGCCCCGCTCCCCTCGAGGAAGTGGCGCTTCCTGGAGCGAGCGGTGGCCCCCCCCCGGTGGTGACCCCCCCCCTCCGCACTGCCTGGCCCTCTGCGCGCCGCCGAGACTCATGGGCAGCGATAGGAGGCATACTCAGGCTTGAGCCGGGCGTGCCCCCTCTTACCGGGAGGAGTATCCAAGAAGAGTCCAGGAGACAGTCTTGGGGGACGATTTCTCAGGCTCTTTTTGACTATTTTGTTGAGTATTGCTGGACTACGTTTTGTCTCTGTTCCAAGATCCGCCCGTAGGAGGACATGCCCGACCGCCCAAGCCGACCCCCGGCCGCCCATTCTTCGCCGATGGTGGGCCAAGAGGCCGCCCCGCCCAGAAACTTGTGGACTCGCTATCGAGGGCCTGTCGTCGACCTATCGGCGACGTATCGCCGATTCCAGGTCGATGTCCCCCCCCCCCGAGCCAGCCTCCCCCTGACTCAAAGGGGGTCGTTTTCACCGACGCTGGCGCGTAAGCTGCCCGCGTGGGGCCTCGCGCAGGAGCCCTCGTGTTCGGTGCGGCGTGCTGCGCTGGCGGCCCGCGCAAGCCGCCTCGCGCAAGGCCGCTACGTCATCTCGCGTAAGGCCGGTCTCTTCGCTCGTTTTCAGTGTGGCGTGCCGCGCTGGCGGCCCGCGTAAGCCACCGCGTAAGGCCGCTACTCAGGAGGGGAAGAAGCACACACACACAGACACAATGAATCGCAGACTCCCAGGAAAATATGGGAAACTATGGGGAGCGGGGGGGGGAGACGAAAACCCAGAACACGTGCAAAGACGGGGAATCCTGAGACTTGCGTGTGCTCCTGTGTGTGCCCCTGGGCGCCTTCAGTTGCGCCACCCCGCGCAGAAGCCGCGTTCTGCTCGTCGCCCAGGTGGGCCTGGTGCTCGCCCTGGTGGCGAAGCACCTCGGCCTCCGGGCCGGGGGCGGCGCCGAGGGCGGGCAGGGCCGGGGCCAGGGCGTGGAGGAGCTGTGGCCCGAGGCCCGCACCGGGCGCCAGGTCACGCGCACCGTGCAGGACGCGGGGGCGACGCGGGGGGGCAGAGCCGCCAAATGGGGCGGCCCCGGCGCCACTCAGCGAGAGCACGTCGAGGAAGCACGAGAACGCCGTGAGCACACAGTCTTGGCGCTCCGCGCGGACTTCTTGGATCCGCGCTGGCCTCCCCGCCGGCGGCGCCTCCGGCGCCGCCCCTGGCGCGCTCCGCACGCCAGGGAGGGCGGTCCAGCGCAAATCCAAGGAATTCGCGCGGAGCGCCAAGAGTTTGTGTTCATGGCGTTCTTTTTTCTTCTTCTTATTCTTCGTTTTCTTCTTTTTCTGATGAAAGAACCCCTAACGATCGAGCATTGATTGAGACGCCTCCTCCCGAAACGCTGGGCCAGCGTATCTCGACCAGCTTGCCAGGAAGTTGGCCCAGTTTCTTGAGCACGTTCGCCACTCCAGCGCTAGCACGAACACTCGCCCCGTGTGTGCCTTATGGAACTTCCAGAAAGCTGGCCCAGGCTTCTGAAATGATGATTTTCTTTATCGCATTTTCGGCTGCAGCACGATGAAGACGTAGCCCAACTTAGGTCCCCATGTTCGCATAGGGGATGATCAATCTGGGTGGTCTCGTTTGGCACATCTGCCGAAAAGACCCCTCTGTCCCTAATGCTCTGGGCCTCTTTTAACCCATGTCGGCTCCCAAAGGGTTCGGGGCCCCTCTATCTCGAGTCAACCGTGCTTCGGAGGTTTCTTCCCCCGAGCCGTAATTCGTGTCAGCCTGTGCCCGAGCTCGTGGCTTCGGACCCTCTCGCCGGTGCTGGGTGGTCTTGGCGGCGGCTCGCCGAGGGCGCTCCAGGGATGCCCGGATCGCCCCGGAAGGCCGCCGGAGAGCCGAGCTGTGACCCGACAGGGAGGGGGGGGGGCGGGGGGACTGGCCCCAGGGGGTGTCCGAGGCCAGCGATCGTCCATGTCCAGTGCCCGTGAAGCCACTCTGCCTGGCCATCGCGGAAGGCAAGAGGATGACTGGCCCCATGTGGCGCCGACGGATCCATGGCCACCGCACACTGTCAAGGGAGGATAAACCACCCGGACCCGACGAGTGCCGTTTACTAAACGGCCCTGGGCATTTGCTGAACAGCCCCGCCCTGTTCGATTCCTTCCCTGGGTGCGTTTACCGAAAGGCTTCGCTTGTCGGGGTGATTATGATGGGGGTAGAGTTTCTGGGAGCCACGTCGCGCCCCCCGAGCGGGAGGTACCGACCCCCCCAATCGCCCATTCCTTGCCAAGCTGGGCCTGGGTTAAGTTGGGCATGTCCCCCTACAGGAGGTTCGAACATAACATAGTTCAATAAATAGTCAGAGGAACGATTTTGTTTTAACTATGCTTGACCATTGTGCGGCGAATTGCTAGGATTTTTTATAATCTGTCGTCCAAGATCCCCTCTGTAGGGGGACGTCGCTCCCCCCCGCTGTTGCGTTCTGCTGCCCTCCCCCCGTCTCTTTCTGTCCCTCCCTCCCTCACTCTCCCTCCTCCCATTCCCCCCTCCTCCTCCTTCTGTCCTTCCTTCCCTCTCTCCTTCCTTTCTTCGCGTCTGGCTCTGCGTTTGGCAGTGATTTTAAGCATCAACCGGCCGCGCGCCCGGCCGGCAACGTTTTTGCAGCTTTCCAGAATTTATGGATGAAAATCAATTTGTGCCCTGGGAGGTCAAATTCTGATTTTGCACTGGTCCGAAGTCTGGCTTAATCCGGCTTAATCCCGCTTAATCCTGGTTAATCCCGTTTAATCCCGCTTAATCCAGCTTTATCCCGCTTAATCCGAGGCATTCTCCAGCGTAGTAGCTCCCAAATGGGGCTTAATCCTTTTCGATCGTTCCGACGAGAACCTCCCAGCAGTTGCCCCCTAATGTAGGCGGACGTCTCCGACCTGACCCCCACTCGCCCATTCCTTGCCTCTCTGGGCCTGGGCCCTCCCCCCCGCCCATGCGAGCCTGCGGCTTCGACGCCCGTGGCCTCTCGCCGGTCCACCGGCGACGCGTCGCCGGCTCCGTCTCAAGGTTCTCCCCCTTGGGGCAGTCGCCCAGCGGTTCCCCCCCCCTCGGGGGGGGGATCGAAGAAGCTACAAAGTCAAGCAGTGGCGAAGCGTCCTGGCTCGCCTATAGCCCTACCAAAGAATGTTCTAAGAACTTTTTGTGGTCTCCACGACATGTTCTTAGAACCTTTCTGGCAGAGTATGTCTTGTTTTATCACATCGAGTTTATGTTCTAAGAACATTGCTTTTGTTCTTAGAACATTTTTGGGATCTAAGAACATTTCGTGGTAGGACTAAAGGAATGCCGGGACGGTCGGTCCCTGCTCAACCCCCTTGGGCCAGTCGCCCCGTGGTTCCCCCCCCCCGCGGGGGGGGATCGAAGAAGCTAAAAAGGCGCAGTGCAGAAACTATCGGAGGTCCGCGCGGATTTCTTGGCGCCGCCCCAGGCGCGCTCCGCGCCCCAGGGAGGGGGGTCCAGCGCCGGTCCAAGAGATCCGCGCGGTCATTCGCGAGTGTTTTTTACGCCGTGCTTCTGATCATCCCAGGTGAGCGTGAAGAACTTCACTGCGACCACTGTCGAGAACAAGCGGCAGGCCCCCCGGAGAATGGGTCGAAGTCGGGCAGGCCTGGGGGGAGAGTACAAGGAGGCTTGGTGCACGTGGCTTGGCCAGCCCAGGCGAGAGCTGGATATACACGTGGCCGCACGTCTTTCCTGCCTTCGGCTCTCGTGCGGCAGACTACGATGGCCCTCTGCATCTGCATCCAGCGCTTGGCCGTCACATGTTCCGCATCTGAATCTCGCCACGTATGCTCGCAGCTTCCTGGTGCACAGTGCCAGAGCGGTCTCGGCCGCTCTCAGAGCGCTACATCCGCCAGGTCCGCCGGCTCTCAGAGATTCCGGGTGGACTTCATCCCTCTTCTGGGGGGCGGCTCTCTTTGCCGACCCCCAAGAAGAGGGATGAAGTCCACGGTGAGGCCTTTTGAGGCCTCTTGGGGGTCCTCTGGGGGCCTCTTGGTGGCCTCTCGGGGGCCTCTTCGGGTCTGAGGGGGGTTTCTTGGGCGCCTGCTGGCCATCCCGGGGTTCCTATTGGGGTGGAGAGCTAGGAGTGTCAGTTCGAGTTGCCACTCTTGGAGCCCCGTTGGGGCTCTCTTGGGCCATCTTGGGCGCCTCTTGGGCCATCTTGGGACCCTCTTCGGCCGTCTTGGGCCCTTCTTGGGGGGTGGGCTTTCTTGGAGCGAACCTGGGGGCCTCTTGAGCTGTCTTGGACGCTGTTGATACCAAAAATGCGAAGATGCTCAACGTATACATTTTTCAGCGGACCCGCCAGCTCTCAGAGGTTTCCGATTTCTCTTTTGCCGCGTGCGTCTTACGAGAGGGGGGGGGCTGCAGGTCCATGTGGCGTTGGCGCGCCGGCGACGCCGGCGAAGGCGTTCCAAGGCTGCCCTCTGCGACGCGAAAGAAGCGAGGGACACGGCAGTGCCACCGGACCCAACGGAACTCCACCTTGAACGATCGGGTCCCCGATTGATTCAAGGTTGAGCGATCGCTGCGATGCCACCAACCTTTGCGCGCGCCGACGCCGCACGGGCCTACCGCAGGAAGAGAGGGGGCTACGAGCTCTGCCGCAGCTGCGCAGCTGGCCTTGCACCCGCCGCTGGGCACGCGTCTCGTCAACGTACTGTCGGGGCGTTGACCTAAGGAACCCTAAATAAGGACCGAGGCCCCTTTTTTCCATAAGTTGAACTTCGATTTCCCATCGGAAATATAAGGAAAACCTGAGGCAAGCTGTGAAACAATTAAGGAGCACGGAGCCCCTCCCCAACGAAAAGGGTTCCTTCTTCAGGGGCCCGACTGTATTCGTTTTCCGACCCCTCCCCCCAGGCGCCGGGAAGGACAATTTCGGGCGTCTGATTCGTTAGCCCCCCGCTCCTTTACCCTCATCAGGAGTCTTGAGAAACAGCCATCCAGGTTCACGGACTGGGCCCTGGGCGTTTTCTCGGAGTTCTTTTTTTGGCACGGAATGTGGAGCATTTGGACCTGACATATTTTCGAAGGCACGCTTGGCATGAAATCAATTTTCTCTGTGTAGAAGTTGTTTTTAATTCTGATCAGGGGTGTACCCCCTCTTCGTTCAGCTACGCGCAGAGCGGGGTAGGGGGGAGGGGTTCTCCTGCTTCTTAGAAGGCGCGGGCCCTATCTATAGAAGCTGGGCCGGCGCCCTCTAAGAAGCAGCCTCCTAAGAAGCCTTCCCCCCTCCCCTTATCCCCTTGTGCGTGCCGCCAAAGGGGTGCATCCCCTCTTCGTCCACCTCCGCAAGGGACTTCCACATGCACCATCTCTGCTTCAAGCCAGACCCTTCGGTAGCAAATCATGGGAGCCTGGTCTGCCCTCGTGATGCCGTCTTTAGCGTCGACTAGCGACTAGCGTAGATCAGCGTCTGGGAGTCGATGAGATAGCGCCGATTTAGCGTTGGGTGGCGTCTATTTGCGTCGATTCAGCGTCGACCAGCGTCGATTCGCAAGAGCCGACAAAATGGTACGGGAGGCTCCCATGAGCTGCCACCGAAAGGACCCCACCCGGAGGGTCCCCGGGGATGGCGCCGTGCAGAACCCCCCGAGGCCTCGGTCGGTAGGGCGCGTGCACCGGCAGGGCGCGTGCACCACGCCAGGGCCCCCGATGGGCCCTGGCCGTGCAGGCTCCGGCGGCCAGCGGGGGGGGGGACGTGCGCAGGAGGAGGCCTCCTCAGGAGGCGGCGGAGCTTCTCGGAAGCCCCTCCGGCCGCCGAGCAGCGCTCTGCGTCCTCGGGGGAGGCTCCGAAAACTTTGCTTCAGAAGGCCGCAGGACTTCCGAGCCTTCTGGGAGGGCCCGCCCCGGATTGGCCCTGGTCGGACGGGACCATCGGACGAGGATAAATTCGTTCCAGGAGGTTCCAGAGCGCTCTCCGAGCGTTCTGAGGAGACCGCGGTGCCAGAGACATCCACAAGGGTGCGAGTCTTTCCGGTTGGAAACCGCCACAAAGAGTTCTAATTGTAGAAGTACTGTACTAGCCAGCGTGACTGAGTACTGTAATGGCTCTCGGGATAAGGACTGCGTATTTGGCACCGCCAGATCTGGGAGATTCACGATTTATCCTCACCCGAATCCGATGTTGTCCTCGTCCTGGCTTCGTCCTGCCTGGCCTTGCATCGTGTTTGTGCAGGAGTGCCTTCTGCGCAGCCTCTTCCCAGCGGCACGCGGGCGAGGCGTGCGCAAGAGCCTGGTCGGTCCTCGACCCTCGTTGATCCTTGGTCCTCCCCGTCGCGATCCTCGATCCTCGATCCTCAATGGATCCTCGAGCGTGGGCTCAGGAAACGGGAGGGCGTTTTTTGACCGTTTTCGAACAAGTGTTTCTTGAAAATGGAAACGGCAAGCAAACCGTCGACCAGAAACGGCAATCAAGTACGGCTCCAGGACTGGAACCGGAGCTGGAACCGGCAACAAAAACGGCGACGGAACCGGTATAACAAAAAACGGAGTCGGAACCAGCAACAGAAACGGCAAAACGGAACCGGTAAAACACGGTTTTGTCGTTTCCAGGGCTCACTAAGTCGAGCCTCCCTTGTCTTCGATGCACAGTTCCCCCGGGGCCGCAGGCGACCCGAGGAGGAGGAGGAGGAGGAGGAGAAGGAGGAGGAGGAGGAGGAGGAGGAGGAGGAAGAGGAGGAAGTGGAGGAGGGGGAGGGGGAGGAGGAGATGGAGGAGGAGGAGGAGGGGAGGAGGAGGAGAAGGAGGAGGGAGGAGGAGGAGGAGGGAGGAGGAGGAGGAGGAGGAGGAGGAGGAGGAGGAGGACGGGTCGCCTAAGCCCTTCGGAGAATCCCTCCACTCCTCGATCCCCCTGATATCCTTGTGCAGTCAGGCTGTCCGAGAGGGGCGCGGCGCCCCATAGGCCCCTCCGTGGGCTCGCCCCATCTCCTCCTCGTACGCCTGGGCGCTGGCTGAGGCCCAGCAGCCGCTTCGTGCCTCGCCCCAGGGCCCTTAACGTTTTAAGGCGGGCATGTCCCTAGTACTCAAAAATTGTAAAACAGTAGCCCGCGGACGATTTTTCGATTATATAGAATGTTTGCATATTTTCCTAACCTCACGTCGTAGAATGCAAAGAAAGATGGGCACACACTTTCGGAGACCCGCGCAGATGTATTGGATCGGCGCCAGCAGCGGGGGCCGCCCCCTGGCGCGCTCCGCCACCTCCAGTGGGGGGGTTCAGTGCCGATCCGAGAAGTCCGCGCGTACCTCTGAAGGCTTGTGCTTGTGCCATTCACTTATTAGCAACACTTGTACTGCATCCTCCTCTGCCCTTCACCGAGCCGAGCTGACGCGATGATGCAGGGGGCCGTGTGTCCTGCCGATCTCGGTGGAATGCTCGTGCCCTTTCCTTGTCCTGCCGCGGTGGAGTTTTTAGCTCGGCGGTGAACCTGACATACAGTCAGACCGAGGTATAAGATCGAGGTCGGTTCGGGGATGGTACCCCGATGTTCGTCGTGTTGGTTGAATGTTCTTGTGCATCCTGGGGCGAGTACCCTTAGATGTTCTGTGTGCTTGGGCTGGCGGAAGGTCTCGTGTTCTTGAGGGATGCTTTTCTGGCCTAGGTCCGACTGCATGCTGCGAGCGTGGGGCAACACAAATTCTGACTGCATCCGCAGCACCTCAGAGGAGGAGAAGGTACCCTTATCGCGACCGTTCGGCCGTTTTCCCCTTTTTGGCGCCTCCTGGGCGGCCCACGTTGCCACTGCTGGATTCGCGTCGCAATCCTGGTCAGAACGCATCCTGGGAGAGGTCCCGGGGGGTAGCGGTATCGGTACCACTTGGTTTCCCCAGCCCCAGCCTACCCGCTCTGATTGCTGGCGAGCGGCGAGTTCCCCCCGGGCCATCAGCGCAGGCCGAGGGATCTTCAAACCTTGCGCTCCACGGAGTGAGAAAGCACAGGCTCTGCGGCAGGTTCGTGTCGTGTCGACCCCGGGCGTTGGTTTCTGACGCCGCGGGGATCGTTCAACCTGAAACGATCGGCTGCTCCGGCGCTTCGGAAACGTCAGGTCGTTCAACATCGATCGATTCGGGGTCGCCAGCGGCGTTCAACCTAGAACGCCAGCGGCGGGGCCGCCGCCAGCCGACACGACGCGAACCTATCATAATGTCATGCCGCTCGCGCCGCGCCGCTCTCGAGTGGCAGAACCTGCTGCGCGTCGACTCTGCGGCGTCGCGCTTGAGCCTCCTCCTGGTTCCGGTCTTGGGCGCTTCGCTTGCGCACTTGGAGGCTTCTTGAGGCCACATCGGTCGACCTGCTTCTCTGGAAAAGTAAGAGGCAACACTTGGACTGCATCGATGGCCACGTGATCGTTTTCTGATTCATTGTTTTGCCGATCGGCGCGGGCCGTCGCACCCCCTCCCCCTCCCCCCCCCCGCCCCTTGAGTAGACCTTGGCTATTTTTGGCGCCTGCTTCGAGCCGGTGGAGTCTCCGCCAGAGGACGCACCGTTGCAAACAGTCGCGTTAAGCAGAGGTCTGGAGTCAGACCCCCCGCTCCTCCCCCCGAACCGCCGAATAAGGCAACGCCCACCAGGGCGCACCGTTGCAAACAGTCGCGTTGAGCAGAGGTCTGGTGCCAGACCCCCCGCTCCTCCTCCCTCCCCCCTTCCGCCGAATGCCGAGACGCCACGCCGAATGAGAAAGCGCCCACCACGCGAAGAGATCCTCGGGGCGCGCAGCTGACCACGCGTAAGTCGGGCGTGTCCCTCTACAGGAGGAATGTTCAAAATTAGCCTGGCGAAGGACCCAGCCATGTGCAGTTGTGAGCACCGTCGTCGTATGCACCGCATTCGGTGGAACTCCTTATCGGCCACGAAAGGTGTGAGGGGTGTGCCCAAATTTGTCCGGTGGGCGCATGCGAAAGCCGCCACTTGGGCCGTCGTTGGAATTCCCCATGGGGCCACGAAAAGCGTAAGAGGTGTGTCGAAATAGGTGCGGTGGGCGCATGCGAACGCAGCCACTGGCGCCTTCGGTGGCCACGAATCGTGTGAGGGGTGTGCCGAAATGGGTGTGGGTGACGCATGCGGGCGGTGGCACTGACGCCTTCGGTGGAGCTCCCTATGGGGCCACGAAGCGAGTGAGGGGTGTGCTGGAATGGGCGTGGGTGAAGCAGGCGGGCGGTGGCACCGGGGCCTTCGGTGGAGCTCCCTATGGGGCCACGAAGCGCGTGAGGGGTGTGCCGGAATGGGTGTGGGTGACGCATGCGGGCGGTGGCATTGGGGCCTTCGGTGGAGCTCCCTATGGGGCCACGAAACGCGTAAGGGGTGTGCTGGAATGTGCATGGGTGACGCATGCGGGCGGTGGCATTGGGGCCTTCGGTGGAGCTCCCTATGGGGCCACGAAACGTGTGAGAGGTGTGACGACATGGGTGTGGATGGCGCATGCGGTCGGTGGCACTGGCGCCTTCGGTGGAGCTCCCTATGGGGCCACGAAGCACGTGAGGGGTGTGCTGGAATGGGCGTGGGTGACGCATGCGGGCGGTGGTACTGTGGGTCGGTAAAGCTCCCAATGAGGCCACGAAACGCGTAAGGGGTGTGCTGGAATGTGCATGGGTGACGCATGCGGGCGGTGGCATTGGGGCCTTCGGTGGAGCTCCCTATGGGGCCACGAAACGTGTGAGAGGTGTGACGACATGGGTGTGGATGGCGCATGCGGTCGGTGGCACTGGCGCCTTCGGTGGAGCTCCCTATGCACGTGATGGGCGTGGGTGACGCATGCGGGCGGTGGCACTGGGGCCTTCGTTGGAGCATGGGGCCACGAAACGTGTGAGGACATGGGTTTGGGTGACGCATGCGGGCGGTGGCACTGGGGCCTTCGGTGGAGCTCCCTATGGGGCCACGAAGCGCGTGAGGGGTGTGCCGGAATGGGCGTGGGTGACGCAGGCGGGCGGTGGCACTGGGGCCTTCGTTGGAGCTCCCTCTGGGGCCACGAAGCGCGTGAGGGGTGTGCCAGAATGGGTGTGGTTGGCGAATGCGGGCGGTGGCACTGGGGCCTTCGGTGGAGCTTCCGATGGGGCCACGAAATGTGTAAGGGGTGTGCCGAAATGGGTATGGGTGACGCATGCGGGCGGTGGCATTGGGGCCTTCGCTGGAGCTCCCTGTGGGGCCACGAAACGATGTACTTCGTGGGTGAAACGCAAGGAGACAGAAGGAGGGGGAGGAGGAGGAGGAGGAGGAGGAGGAGGAGGAGGAGGAGGAGGAGGAGGAGGAGGAGGGGAGGGAGGAGGAAGGAAGGGAGGAGGAGACGCGGGGCGCTGTCTCAGCAAAACGAGGACCCAACACCACAGGATGGTTGGGAAACAGTCAAAAAATAGTATGGGACGATTTTTCTGTCATTTTTGATAATTTTGTCTTTATTTGGGGGTCTTTTTTATTTGAGCATGCCCGACCTAAACCTGGGCCCGAGCTGCCGCCCCTCCTCCTCCGAGCGGCGGCGCGAGAGCGCGGCGGCGCAGAGAGCACCGCGCGCCGCACGTCGCGGGGTGCAGCGGGGCGCAGCGCGCGAAGTTGGTCATGGTCCCCGCATTCGAGGAAGGGGAGGAGGAGGAGGAGGAGGAGGAGGAGGAGGAGGAGGAGGAGGAGGACGAGGAGGAGGAGGACGACGAGGAGGTCCTTCCTCTCCACGCGGGGCGCAGCGGGGCGCAGCGCGCGAAGTTGGGTGACCTGGCCAGGGCTGCCTACGATCCGATCCGATGCGGCTCGACTCGCCGGCTGGCACCGCCGTTGCTCAGAGGAGGAAGAGGTAGTCCCATACTGCTGCCCTCGCCTCGTTTTCCCCTTTTCGGGTCTCCTGGGAGGCCCTTGTCGCCGCCGCTGGATTCGCTTCGAAATCCTGGTCAGAACGCACCCCGGGAGTGGCGGTATCGGTATCTTTTGGCTTCCCCAGATTCACCGGCCGGGATCTCGATTCCGATCCGATTCGGTCCGGTTCGGCCTGGGGCCCGACGGAGCCAGGCACGGCGATGCGAGCTCGATTCGATCCCGGAGAACTCCCTGGCGATCCGATGGGTTTCTGATCCGAGTCGATGGCCGCGGTTCGATCCAACTCACGCCTTCTTGGCTCGCCGTGGCAAAGCTCGGGCTGCACCGCCCATCTAGGCCTCCCAGATGGGGCCCGAGTGTATGGTGTTGGAGGGTCGCGTCGCATCGTCGATTCATCGGCAATGCGGTTCGATGTGGAGCCCGATTCTCTCCACGCCAGCGTCGCCCATGAATCGCCGACGTCGCCAGTGCAGCGCCGAGGCATCAGCGATGCATCGGCGATGCGTTGCGATCGTCCAACGCCAATCAACTCGGATCCCCTTTTGGAGGCCTCCAGGCAACGCTCGCACCAAGATGTCGCAGGATCTAGCTGACTTCGATCTTGGTCATGGTCCATGCTGGCCGTCGCCGGCTCGCGGGGATGACCCACGAGTTGACGCTGACCAAGATGGACCGCAACCAAGATCGACACGACGCTTTCGCGTTCCGTCTTGGTCGTGGTCCCCTGTGAGAGCGCGCTGATGTTCTCAACCGGTTGCAAGATATGCAGTGCAGAATTTACCCATTTGCTGGCAACTCCCGACAGCCAACAGAAACATCTGGGAGCCTTGGGCGCCGTGAGCGCTTGGGGCAAAAGCGACTGCGGAGGCATGCAAGATACACATGCTGCAAGACCCGCATCCTCGCGGTCTCTCTTCAAAGCCATGCAGGATACAAATGGCCCCCGCTTTCTTCCTCTCCACGCCTGCTGCGCTGTGGCCAAGCTCTGGCTGCACCGCCCGCCCCTGAGAGGTCTTCGCCGTCCTGGCCTACCTCCTGCGGCCGCTGGCGCCGCCCGCCGCCGCGGAGGGCGGCGAGCCCCGGGGCGTCCTGCGGCCGGCCGACGTGCGGACCACGGCCTCCTTCCTGGAGGACCCCTTCGGCGGCGAGCGAGGCAACAACGGCGACGACGGCGACAACGGCCACGACGACGACGACGACGACGACGACGACGACGACGACGACGACGACGACGACGACGGCGACGACGACGACGACGACGGCGACGACGACGACGGCGACGGCGACGGCGGCGGCGGCTGCGACGACGGCGAGGGCGGCGAGGGCGGGGTTTGGATTTTCGGCGGCGAGCGAGGGGGGGGAGGGAGAAGGAGAAGGCCTTCTCAGAAGGCGGCGGGACTTCTCAGAAGCCCTCGCGCCTTCCGAGAAGCTCTCGGTGTCTTCGGGGAAGGCTTGGAGAACTTTGTCAGAAGGCTGGGGGGCTTCCGAGCCTTCTGAGAAGGTCCACCCCTTCTTACTCGCCCTCCGTCTTGCTCTCGTCGCCTTGCGGGAACCGGGTCGGGCCCTGAGGGAGGAAGGAGCAGGAGGGGGAGGAGGAGGAGGAGGAGGAGGACGAGGAGGAGGAGGAGGAGGAGGAGGAGGAGGAGGAGGCGGAGGGGCAATGAGTGTGGGCGCTTCTCTCCTCTCGCACGGCAGCTGCTGGTTGGGTGTTTGTCGAGGGAAGCATTACCTTCCTGGGGGATTCTGTCCGCGCGGACTTCTCTGATCGGCGCTGGGGCCCCCTGGCGGCGCCTCTGGGCGCCTCTGGTGCCGTCCCCGGCGCGCTTCGCGCGCCGTTCCCAGCGCCGAGCCAGAAACTCCGCGCGGACCTCCGAAAGTGCATGCTTTTGTCATTTGTTGTTCAAGACGCTGGAACGAGGACCGCCTTGTGTTAAGTCGGGCGTGCACCTCAACACGGGGAGTAAAATAGTCAAATTAGCCTGGCGAAGGACCCAACCGTATGTAGTTGTGAGTACCGCAAATATGGGTATCGTATTCAGTGGAGCTCCCTATGGGGCCACGAAGCGCTGCACTGGGTGGGGGAGACGCATGCGAAGTTTGCCACGGAGGCCTTCAGAGGAGCTCCCAATGGGCCACGAAACGCTGCACTGGGCGGGGGGGACGCATGGGACTTTGCCACTGGGGCCTTCGGTGGAGCTCCCGATGGGCCACGAAGCGTTGTGTTGGGTGGGGGAGACGCATGCGGGCGGTCCCACTGGGGCCTTGGGTGGGGGAGACGCATGCGGACTTTGCCACTGGGGCCTTCGGTGGAGCTCCCGATGGGGCCACGAAGCGTTGTGCTGGGTGGGGGGAACGCATGCGGATTTTGCCACTGGGGCCTTCGGTGGAGCTCCCTATGGACCGCGACACGTTGTGCTGGGTGAGGAGAACGCATGCGACTGTGCCATTGGGGCCTTCGGTGGAGCTTCCTATGGACCGCGACACGTTGTGCTGGGTGAGGGGAACGCATGCGACTTTGCCACTGGGGAACCGCTGTACTGGGTGGGCGGGTCGCATGCGGGCGGTCCCTCTGGGACTTTCGGTGGGGCTCCCCATGGGGGCCGCGAAACGCTGTACTGGGTGTGCGGGACGCATGCGGGCGGTCCCACTAGGACCTTCGGTGCGCTCGATGTGCTGTGCAACGGCGAGGGCCCCAACGAAGTGCTCACCGCCTGGCCAGTGGTGGGGCGCCGCGTCGCTCCTGAGCTCGCATCATCCGTTTGATCGCATCGAGTTTGCCGCCGCATTCGCAGAGAGCGGCAGCGAGGACGAGCAGGGCACCGCCGCCGCCCGCGCGCCGCGCGGCTCACGCCGCGGGCGCAGCCGGGCGCCAGCGGACACTGTGGCGCGAGCTGGCGCGCCTGGGCCCAAGGGCCGAGCGGGGGGCGCGGCCGCGGGCGCGCTCGTGCGCGCCCGTCGCCCAACGTTCCTTGCGGCGCGTCTTTCGTGCGACGCGGTGCATTCCGCGCGCTGCGTATGGCAGTGGGCGCCGCGCGCTGCGATGCGCTGCGCGGCGCCGCGCGCTCGGGCGCGGCCATGTCGTCGTTGGGCGTCGCCGCGCCCAGGCGCAGCAACGGTGCGCGGCGCGGGCGCGCGGCGAGGAGCGCCGCGCCGGTCCGCTGCGCGCCGCGCCCAGCGTCGGGGCGCGGCAGCGCCCGACAGGCAGGGCGGCGCGGCGAGCGCCAGGATGGCACGTCAGATGGGGGTCCCCAGGGTCCCGCCTGTGGGGAAGTGAGCCCCAAGCCCCTCGCGGTCATCCACTAACAATGTGGCGCGGCGCACATCGCCGTGCGAAGCGAATCCCTACACCTGCGCGGCCCTCAATCAAAATTGTGGCGCGGGAGTACCCCCCTCCAGACACTCCTAAACGATGTCGCGCGCTCCTCTCGTTGTGGGTTTGGGGCGCATTTCGGGCCCCTGGGATTATCAAGTGAGCAAAAATTGCACCAGATGGTCCACCGGAGGGGTCCCAGGGGCCGAATTTGATCGGGCTTGGCTTCGCCCCCCCTCTTGATCGATGTCCCTGGGGGCCCATCGATGCAGTTCAGACCCTCTGGCGGCCTCCAAGGGGTATCCTTTTGTTTTTCGTGCTTGAGCTATCCACCCTTGGAGTATTCTTCGTTCAAGGCATCTCCACGGAGCCTTGGTCCTTCGGCGAAGGGGCCCACGGTGTTGAGACGCGTTCTTGTGGCCATGTCTCGGCTGTGTCCAACCATGGGCGTCGCTCGAGGAGCGGAACAACTTCTGCAAACATCGACTTTTGAGGTCTCCGCCCAGATTTCTTTGGTCGGCGTTCGCTCCCCCAGCGCGCCGGGGGGGTGAGGTCCAGACGTCTGCGCGGATCGAAGAAATCCGCGCGGACCTCCAACAGGTCATGTTTGTGCAGCCCCGAAGGTCCCCCCTCCTTATTTTCCGCCAGTTCAATCCGCACGAACTGCAAAGGGCCCACTGTGAGTCCTCATGCGTAGAACATCCATAGGAATCCGCAGGCATTCTTCGGGTATGTTTGGAAGCCTTCGAGAGCCATCGATCATCGACTACGCCCGTCACGCGGCAACTACTTGGGGCAATACGGCGTGGAAGGCACGCGTTGCCCCCGCACTGGCCACTCGCCGGTATGGGGCGTCGGCAATCATGCGCAGATATCTGGCGTTTTCCTTGATCCGCGGGCCCTTGAGCGAAATCTCGGCCGCTTCCCCACAGGTGCGCTTCAGCTTTTCCGCCCTGGATCTTTTCTGCATGACCCTGGGGCCCCAACACGGCTCTCGGGTGTCGAAATCCAGTGACTTTTTGACGCAGCTACTTTTGCTGCGCGGTTTCCGGGGGGCGTGGGGGGGCCAAACTCGGACAGGTACGCCGCATGCTGTCGCATCGCATGCGACGACCGGCGGCGCGCCCTGAAGGCCAACCTTGCTTGCGTGTAGTCGAGACGCAGGGGAGAGCTGACGGCCACAGCTCAAGGAAGGCACATCGGCATTGGAGGCAGCAGAACTGCCAGCGTCTCGTGCCGCCGGTCGAGCAGGCGATCCCGATTCAGAGCCCTTGAAGTGGTCATCGGCAGTGGGCTCTGGCAAAAAGAAATGAGCATCATCGCCACGTTGGTATGTCAAGCAGCGGCGAAGCGTCCTGGCTCGCCTATAGCCCTACCAAACAATGTTCTAAGAACCTTGTGTGGTATCCACGAAATGTTCTTAGAACATTTCTGGCGGAGTCTGTTTTGTTTTATCACATCGGGTTTATGTTCTAAGAATATTGTTTTTGTTATTAGAACATTTCTGGGTTCTAAGAACATGTCGTGGTATGACTCTAGGAATGCCGGGACGGTCGGTCCCTGCTCACGTATGGGCGGTTAGGCGTGAAACGTGAACACATGCTTTTTGGGAGGGCCGCTTTGACTTCCCGGATCCGGCGCCGGACCGTGCTCCTTGGCGTTAAGTTTAAGTCGGGCCTGTCCCCCTACAGGGGGATTTTCGATGAAAAATAAGGAATACCCCGAAAATAATAATAATAATAGCAATAGTAATAATAATAACATCCAAACATCGTCTGGGGACTATTTCTTGAACATGTTTTGACCTTCTTGGGGTATTTTTGGAATGCTTTTCATTCTTCATCGAAAATCCCCAAGTCGGGGGACATGCCCGACATAACGTTAAGTCGGGCATGTCCCTCTACAGGAAGATTCTTCAAAAATAGTCGAAAAATATCACGGGGACGATTTTTCGATTCGTGTTGGTTATTATTGAAGATATGTTCTGGCTATTTTGAACTTTTCCTCCAAAATCCGCCTGTTGGAGGACACGCCCGACCTAACCCTATAGCGTGGAGCGCTCCAGGGGCGGAGGCGCCGCCAGGGGGGCTCAGCGCCGATCCCGGGGAATCCGCGCGGACCTCGTTCCCCAGGCCCCCGACGTCATGACATCTTCATGACGTCGACCGCAGAATTAAGTAAGGCCTGCCCCCCTTCAGGAGGAATATTCAAAAATAGTCAAGACATACTCTGGGGACGATTTGTTCCGTATTTCGTTTGGTCCAATATTTTTGACAAGTTCTGTCAATTTGTCGTCCAGAATCTGCCTGAAGGGGGACATGCCCGACCTAACCCCAGAAGTCTCTACCCGTTCCCCGGGGCCGGTTTCTCATCCTGAGTCGTTGTATGACGGCCCCGAGGCCCGGCGAGGGCCCCAAGGAACCGAAACTAGCGAAAAGCTTGCCGTCGTGATTTTTTCCCTTGCCCGAGGGGGTCTGGGTTCACGGCTCTGACGCTTTCTCTTCTTCGAACATTGAATCGTTGGGCTCCTCCCGTCCGCAGGGCGGCGGCAGCCATCTTTGGGCGCACCGCAGTCTTGGGCCGGGGACGGGCCTGGGCAGGGTCGGGATTGCGCAGTTGTGCTCTGGGCCTCTTGGATGGGGTCGGAGTAGATGGGGTCGGGGGAGCACGCCGTATCGTCGATGCATCGGCGATGCGGCTCGCTGTGGAGCCCGAGTATCTCCACGCTGGCGTCGCCTATGCATCGCCTATGCATCGCCGATGTCGCCGATGCATCGCCGATGCATCGCGCGATGTATCAGCGATGCAGCGCGATCCTCGGACGCCATCATCTCGGACCCCATCTAGGAGGCCTCTATGTGCGCCGTGTACAGCCAGCGCTATAAAGCTTATGTTGATCTAGAGTTTTCTTTCCCAAGCACACGACGTCTTGATGTTTCACTACGGGGTCTCGGGAAATCCCGACCCGTGGTCAGTTTTGCATCCCGATTGGTTTCTTGACGGTCCTGGGGCCCGGCGACGGCCCCGAGGGGCCGCAAACGGCCAAAAACCACCCATCTTGATTTTATCACGACGCGAGCATGTATGTATTTTTTGACAAACCGCCTCCATCGCTCAACGGCCAGGAGGGACAAATAACCCCAGGAGGTCTTTTGTTTTGCACCCCCTTTTCTTTCGGCGGGGAACAAACTCGCCCCTCCCCCTCTTCCTGCTGCTCGTCGTCGCCCTCCTCCTCCTCCTCCTCCTCCTGCTGCCCCTCCTCTTCCTGCTCCTCCTCCTTCTGCTCCTCCTCGCAGTCGTCGTCCTCGTCGTCGTCGTCGTCGTCGCACTCGTCGTGGCGGATACTATTTTCCCTCATCGTTGGGCGTGTTGTATAGGTTATGTTTTCTCCAAGGGAATAACCAATTGCGGGCTACACTACACGCAAGAGGATGTGTGAGCATCTTCTCATGATGATTGCAACAGGAATCAGTGGCTTGTCGTGGTTGAAATCGTGATTGTAGTCTTGATTGTTGTCGTAATGTAGTCGCGGCTGTAGTCGTAATCGTCGTGTCATTGTCGCGGCGGAGATTTGTTCCCCTTTATTTCTGTGGGCTGGATAATGTTTCTTTCCCCTGGGATTCATGCTCCCTGGGCTACCGCACGACGGAAGGAATGTTGAGCACGTTCGTAAGATTATTACAGTTTAGATCGACACATTCTTCGCCGAAGGCGTTGCTCACAACCGCCTCTTTCATCTCGTCTTCGTCGTCGTTGTTGTTCTGCGTCGGGTGCCGGGGAGAAATAGTTATTTGTCACTATTGGTGTGGACCCCCGTCCGTCAATGAGGTTGCCCCAAACATGTAATTTGTTTCCGCTATTGGGGGGCTTCTAAAGACAGATCGGGGGTTATACACAACACACAACTAGATTGGGCAACTATGCGAAACTGCCAGGAAGAGGAAAGCCAGGACCCGTGATTTGTGTAGATTCTTTTGGGGCGTTCCCGAAAGGGCCTTGCTGTCGAGGATCGAAGGAGTTGTCGTCTCTTCCGCGGCGGAAGGCGGCGGCAGCGCGGCGGAAGGGCAGCGGAAGTAAAACGAGGGCGGCTCCGCCGGCGGAAGGCGGCGGAAGGCTGGCGGAAGGCAGCGGAAGCAGAAGTCGACCTCCCAACAGATGACAGCATTTGTGGGTTCCAGGCTTCCGAAGTCGGCCATCTGTGTTTCCCTGGGCCCCTTCCTCCAAGGATCAGGAGGGAAAGGACACACAGACACAATTGATCGCCGACTCCGAGGAAAATATAAGAACATATAGGGAGTGGGGGGGAAGACGAAGACCCAGAACATATGGAAAAATATTGGGAGTCCCATGATTTGTGTCTACTTATGTGTGTTTCCCTGGGCCCCTTCCTCCAAGGAGGGCGGCCAGAGCGACGAGCTGCTGCCCTGGGTGCTCGGGGCGCTGAGGGCCCTGCTCGGCGCGGGCGGGCCGGAGTGCGGCGCGCTGTGGCCGAGGCTTATGATGTTCTAATTTACGTTAGCCTTGACCACAGGGAAGAAAGGCTTGTTCTAACATTTTTACGTTAGCCTTTCTAACTTACGTTAGCCTTTCTAATTTACATTCTAAAGACCTGATGTTCTAACTTACGTTAGCCTTTCTAACTTACGTTAGCCTTGTTCAGGATCCGGAAAAAGTACCGAAACTTGAAGTTTTTCACGCGTCGGGACCTGGGAGACACTCGTCCGACGCTGTTTCGACACTGTTTCGACACTCTTTCGACACTTTTTCCGGGTGCTCGAAAGTCTTTCTGGGATGTGGTCCTCAAGTATGACGGGGGCAACATAAGCCGAGGCTGTTCGACCTCCTCCTGCGCATGCGGTCCGGCGAGGACCTCCCGCGCTGGCCCCGCTGCTCAGGGCCACCGCGAGGGGGGGGGGGGGGCATGGACGTGGGGAGGGGCTCGGTTGGAGGAGGTCGGGCGATCGGTGGGAGGTTGTCAAGCGTTTGCCTCGGATCCCGGCGGTCTTTCGGCCTCGGGATGCTCTCCAGCAGCTGTGCCTCGCCGAGGGCGTGCTGGGAGTGCCTGGGTCGTCCCGAACGGCCGCCGGAGGCCCGAGTCCGGGCCCGAAAATCTGCCACGTTCGGCCATTCGACGCGATTCGCCCCCCACATCGCTACGTGCTTCGCCCCCCAAGTCGCTACGTGAAAAAGAAGAGCTTCCTGCCCCCCAAATCGCTGCGTGATCTGGGGGCCACTGGACCGTGAAGTTTTGGGCTACGCCTCGCGCCAACAATGGTCGAGTCGAGTAACCGGGCGCCGATCGAGTCGGGCAGTGCGCCGTGGCACGCACGTGAGAAACCGTGGCCACCAGGGGAGCGAGCGCGCCGCGCGCCCTGACAGAACGGTGGGCGCCCCGCGCGCCTCCAGAAGATTGGGGCCATGTGCGCTCGCGCAGCCTTGCCTTCAGTCGGGCCCGTCCCTCTACAGGAGGAATGTTCAAAAATAGTCAAACAATAGTCGGGGGACTATGTTTTGACTATTGTTGAGCATTTGGGGGGTATTTTTGTTTTTTGTTTTTCACCCAAGATCTCCCTGTAGGGGGACAGGCCCGACCTAAGCCTTGCCAAAAACAGCGGGTGCACCCTGGCTGAACCGTCCGGTCAAATTTTTCATCGCCCATAAATCGCGCAGCGGTTTGGGGAGCAGGAGAATCTCCCAAGGTGACCAGTGCCAAATTGATGCCTCGTTGCCTTCTGGCAGCTGGCGCGGCTGCGGCCATGGTGATGCGCTCCACGCCGCGCGGCCTGCGCCGTATAGCAGGCGTGGTTTGCGGCCTGGATGTGCGGCGCCAGACCGTCCGCAGAGCCGAACTCCGAGCCTTCTGACTGGCGCTGGCCTCCTTCCTTCCTGGGGCCGATGCTGTACCTCACAGGCTGCAGAGCGCCCCTCGATGGTTGGGAGCGTGGCTCCCGCCGCTGCGGCTTGGGCGCCGGGCTGCTGCCAGCGATGCTGCCCGCAAAGCGTGGTTGGCGGCCCGCGCGGGCAGGGCACCCGACACGGCCTTGCGGGACTGCGCGGCGGCGCGCGTGCGACGCCGCGCCCGCCAGGCCTTCGTCGACGCGGCGCTCGCGGCACCTTGGGCCGTTGAACGCCCTGCTGGTGCTCGCCGTCCCGCCGTGCCGGCCCTCCCGCAGGCTCTCGCAGGCTCCTGCCGCTGCCGCGTCCAGGCAGGCCGCCTCGGGGCTTGCGCCCTCTGCCGCCGCCAGCGGGTGCTGGGGCCGCAGCTGGCGGCGGCTTGCGCCACGCCGAGCAGCTCGGGTAACTAGCTGCCCTGTTCTAGGGGGCCCCAAAATATACACCACCACCACCTCCCTCCCCCCCTCCCTCTCGCTGGAAAGAGGAGAGAAGAGGAATCGACGTGGTGGTGGTGTATACTCTCTGGGCCCCTATGTTCGGGCCCCCCCCCGCCGACGTCATTCAAGCGGCGGGGGCGGATGCGTGGGTGGGGGGCGTGCAACGGCACCAACCCCACCGAGTGCAGCCGTGGCCGCGGCACCACTGGCCCCGGCCACTTGCTCGAAGAATGTGCTGAGCCCAGCCGCAAGGGGCGCGAGAACTTGGCGCGGATCCGAAGGGGTCTGCACCCAGGCCGGCGCGTCTCTGTGGCTGCTGCTGACTGCGAACTGGGCATGGTTTATAATCTCCGGACCTCATACAGCAGGCTGCGCCAACCGAATTCCTTTTGCGGGCAGACCTCCTGGCACCCCGGGAGGAAGAATGACAACAAATATCAAAACATAGCAAAAAAATAATAAAATATATGAAAACATATATTTTGAGCTATGTTTAGCTATTTTTTCATGTTTTGATATTTTTCGGAAACAGAAAAATAGCAAAATATATTGAAAAATAGTAAAAAAATGAAAAAATATGAAAACATATATTTTGAGCTATTTTTTATATTTCTTCATATTCTGATACTTGTGGGAAACAGTAAAATATTCAGGAGGCCGACGGACGCGTCGACTATTCTATTGTGGACAATACAGAACTCCGACGCGCGCGCGCGTTAAGAAGTTCTCAATTGTCCAGAATACAGAAGTCGACAGGTGTTTTTCTACAAAAGGAATTCACAATTTCTGTTGCTTGTTAAGGAGGCCGACGGACGCGTCGACTGTCCTACTGTTGTGGACAGTACAGAACTCCGGCGCGCGCGCGCGCGTTGAGGAGTTCTGTATTGTCCACAACAGAAAACTCGATATGTAATTCCAAACACTGAATTCAAACTTTCTGTTGGTCTTTAAGGAGGCCGACAGACGCGCGCGGGGCGGGTCACCCGCGCGCGCGCGGCCCCCCGCGCGCGCGCGCGTGGAGGAGTTCTGTATTGTCCACAATCGAGAAAAGTCGCGGTGCTGGCTTGGAAATGAAACTGAGCCCTTGACGGTGATCGATTGGATTTTGAAGTTAACATGCGATTTCCGACGTTTCCAAAATCGAAAAGTCGCCAGGCTGGATTGCAAACTAAAGTGAACCCGTAACGGGGACCGATTGGGTTTTGAAGTTAACATGCGATTTCTTAGGTTTCCACAGTCGAAAGGTCGCCATGCTGGCTTGGAAACTAAAGCGAATTCTCAACGGCGACCGAGCGGATACAACTCCCTGGTACAACTCCCGAGTACAACCACTTTTGAGGTGTTGCTGCATTACACTTACAGTCTGGGCTCTCACGCTCCCTTCTGGTTGCGCGGGAGGGGGGGAGGGTCCTATGTAGGAGTCGCCCGGGCGATGGATTTGCGAGATTTCGGGTCCATCCCTTGCGGATTTCAACGGAACTCTAACGATTCTCAGCGCCCCCCAAGGCGCTCCCTTTGATTTTGCAGCGATTTTTCAGCATACCTCAGGCTCCCCGGGTTTCGTCAGTATCCCCAATGGTTTCCAATGGATATATTAGGTCCCCAAAGGCGCGTCCAGCGTCCCGGCGATTTCGGATGGGGCCTCTGGATGCCGTCTGGCCCCTAGGAACCATCTGGGTACTTCCGAAGTCGGTTCCTAAGGTTGTGTTTTGTTCGAAAAGGTCGCCAGGCCTCCCGCGGGCTGTCAGAATTCATGCTGGTTATCTAGGATCATTACGGATTACGGATTCCTCGGCACCCCTCAGGATCACATTGGATTTCCAGACCGCAGGATTCTCAGGATTCGTAGGGGTTCAAAAGGATTATTCAGCTATCATCTGGATTCCTGCGGGCGCCTCTGGGTTCCTCGGTCCCGGTTATCCATCGGGCAGCATGACGTTGCCCAAGGTTTCCGTCGGATCTTCGACAGCTCCCAGAAATTCCTGATGCCCCCCGAGTATGATTGTGGAGGATCATGATTTTTCAAGTGTCGTCAAACATGCGCAGGCTGCTAGAGGGACCTTGAAGAATCTCAGCGGGGTCTCGAAGGCCCCCGAGGATTCGCGGGGTTCCCAGTGGCCCCTCGAGAAACCTTGTAAATTGCCAGGAATTCCCGGGGATTCTCCGGTTCCGGATGGAGATTGCGATTTCCCCGGGGTGCGCGAGCGTCCTGCGCGGGCCCCCCCGATTCCTTGGGCTTTCGATTTGTTTTGAAAGGTTCCGAAAGATGCTCGTGGATTCTTCAGAATTCTAACGGCTTCCCCGGGGCGGCGTTCCCCTCCCCGCGGCGCGCGCTGGCGCGGCCGATGCCGCGACGCAGAGCTCGCGGGCGCGGCCGCGCCCGCCGCGCCCCCCCTCGTCTAGCGCGCGGGCGCGCCCCATCTGGTCGAACGCGCGGGCGCGCCCCGCCCCGCGCCTGCGCGGCGGTGCCCCGCCCTGTCGCGCGCGCGGGCGCGGACGCGCCCGCGCCCTCAGACGCGCGGGCGCGGCGGGCCGCCTCCTCTAAGACGCGCGGGCGCGGGCGCGGCGGAGATGGCGGGGGCGCGGCTGGGCCGTGCGCTTTCAAACGCGCGGGCGCGCGCGGGCGGCCGCCCTCGGGCCCCCCCGCGCGGCCGCTGCAGGATTTGTAAAGCGCGCGGGCGCGGCCGGGCGGGGCGCTTTCAAATGCGCGGGCGCGCGCGGGCGGCCGCCCTCGGGCGCCCCCGCGCGGCCGCGGCGGGATCCGTAAAGCGCGCGGGCGCGGCCGGGGCGAGCGTTTTCGAATGCGCGGGCGCCCGCGGGCCGCCGCCCTCGGGCCCCCCCGCGCGGCCGCGGGGGATATGGCGCGCGCGGGCGCCGCCAGGCCGGCTTTCTCAGGCGCGCCGGCGCGGCCAGGTCGGCGTTGTCAAGCGCGCGGGCGCGGCCGCGGGCAGCCCGGCAAAGCGCGCGGGCGCGGCCTCGCCCGCGTTCTCCGGCGCGCGGGCGCGGCCGCGCCGCGTCGCGTAACGCGCGCGGGCGCGCGGGGGGCGGCGCTGTCCGACGCGCCCGCGCGACCGCGGCGCGCGCGGCCGCGGGGCGCGCGCGCGCCCCCGCGGGTGCGAGCGCCGCCGGCGGCGGCCCCCGGGGCGCGAGCGCGGCGCCGTATTTTTAGCAATTTTTCAGCCGCGGCCGGACATATTTTTAGTTTTTTTAGCTATTTTTATATTTTTGTTCGCCGGATGATATATATATATATATATATATATATATATATATATATATTATATATATATATATATAATGAAAAAATATGAAGATATAGCGAAACGCAATGTTGTGATCAAACAAACATATGAAAAATTGTATGTTTAGCTATTTTTAGCTATTTTCATTTTTTTTTAAAAATTATTTGTTTAGCTATTTTTAGCTATTTTTTAAAATAATTCTCCCAGCCCGGCAACATTTTATTATTATTATTATTATTTTTCTCCGCCCCGCGAGCGAGCGCCCGCCCGCGGGCGCGCCCGGCGAGGGCGGC